CCTGATGGTTCAGGAGTTCAAAGGCAGTGAGCTCTGCCCCAGCTCTTTCTCCATTGGGAACCGGGAGACAATCCTTGTTAAACAACTTGATTTTGTTGCTGGTGTAGTTTTAATGTCGTATTTCCTAGGTAATGGGACCTAAACTGTCTTTCAGCATCATCTGCTGCAGAGATCCATGCCATGACCACTGTGGACACCTAGGTCTAGGTATGGACACCTCGTATCCACACACACAGGATCTTAAACCACGACAGAGAGGGAGGCAAGTGGCTTTTTGTACAGGCCTCCCATCAGCTGCCCCACTGAATGTGAAAGGCCCATGAGACTCTGCTTGAGGAACTGCTGGAGCAATGCCTGCTTCACCTTCACTGTTTCCAAATAAGGATGACAGAGCTGCACATCATTGCCCCATTACATACAGTTATGTTTTGTACATTGCCCCTACTCTTCTCTCACTTCAGTGTTTTTGTCTCTCTAGGCTGTGGGATCTTTGGAACACAGATGTCTCTGTACCAGACTATTGCACTTGGATCCCTATAGAATAATGCTAATATCAGGGCTTGTCTGTGCCCATTGACTGCTCCCTGGTGCTCCCAGTACCGCAGCCTGGCCCTGGGCTCTGCCCCCAGCCCTGAGCATTGCACAAGGGCAGCAAGGGCACTGCTACAACACCAGAGAGCACAACCCGAGAGCATCGCTCCAGGGAGCGCCTGCCTGCGATTAAACCCTGCCAAAGACACTACAAGGCTTTCCTGAAGAGCTCTCCAGCAATAAGCACTTTCCTGCCCTCCTGCCACCTCGAACAGTAACAGCAGCTGTTACCAAGCCAACAGGAAAGCAGACAAAGCTCTTGCACTGGGGCTGGGAGATTCACCTTAATGGTATTCACTTGCTGCAGTTTGGAAGCACTGTCAGAGCGATCACCAAGCAGTTAGGCATCCTGGATGTGGAAACACTGGATGCTCATGTAGGGGTGAGACTCCCTGCCTTTTCCACTGGAGGCTTTATGGGTTCAGCCTAGAGGTAATAACAACATGAGAACCAGGGGTACTTTCCTGAGTCCCACCTCGCTCCACCTCCGTTGCCATGGGCTCTGAGCAAACAGACGGTTTCTCCTCACTGCCTGGGCTGGTGGCATATGGCTTTCTAAACGTGTTTACTTGAAAGGTTTGAGTTTGTATCCAGCTCCTAACTTCCAGCAGGTCCCCATCAGTGTGCTTCATTTGCCTGCCAGAGTGATGGGCCAAGCACACTTCCCATCTACTTTCACTGCATGGACTCATGGAATGGTTTGGGTTGGAAGGGACCTTAAAACTCCTCCAGCTCCAGCCCCTGCCACGGGCAGGGACACCTTCCACTAGAGCAGCTTGCTCCAAGCCCCTGTGTCCAACCTGGCCTTGAACGCTGCCAGGGATGGGGCAGCCACAGCTTCTCTGGGCAAGGTCAGGTTGGATAGGTCTTGGAGCTGGTCCCTTCCGACCCAACCCATTCTATCCTATGGTCCTATGATTCTAGGCTATGGGATTTTCAGGAGCACAGGTGTCTCTGTACCAGACCTATGACATTTGAGTCCATATAGAATAACATTAATTCTTTTCATTTCTTTCTTATCCCAAGCAGTGAACTTCCATCCCCAAGCACAAAAAGTAATGCTACCTTAGGAAACGTTGCTGATCATTTCTCTGTCTTCTAAAGGTCTCTGTCATCCAGGGTACAGAGGCATAGCAGGAACCAGCGTCTGGGAGCTAAAGTCAGGTAAATTGAAAGGAGGAATAAGGAGCTAAGGTTCACATTTTAAACAGTGAGGTTGATTAAGCACTACTTCAAAGCAAGTGGTAGATTTCTTATATCCACCTGGCCTTAAAACAAGCCTGGAGGCACTTTCTGGAAGATGTGTTTTAGCAGACACAGGTTGTTAGGCTCAACACAGGGTTATTGGGTGAAATGTAATGGCCTGAAATAAACAGGAGCTTGGCCAAGCTGTGCTAATGGCCCTTTCTGGCCCTGAGCAATCTGACTCAATGAATAGCATGCATATCAATATGCACTCTCTAAAGCAAGCTACTTAAATACGTGCCCAACTCTAAGGTGGAAGTCTTCCAGCTCTCTCCTATAGGACTTGCCTAGTAAATCAAGACTCACATCCTGCAGGCTTGATCTGATACACCTTGAAGTCAGCGGGGATCTTTCCCCTGACCACTTCAGGCTGCAGATCAGGCTGTCAGAAAGACATAAATAGGTTCCTGCAACTCCTGGAAGTGCGTTTTCATGCTGAAAGCACTTTGCACTTGTCTGATGAAGGATCTCCAAGCACTTTGCAAACATTAATTCGCTACTTAATTAAACTTAAAACACAAGGCAGATGACTTTGTGTCTTTCTTCAAGCACCATTTATCAAAGGAACAGGTTGCGCTTGTCATGCTGATAACAGCGAGTAACTTTCCCTGCTTGCATTGTGTTTCTAAATCCAGTTTAAGTTGTTTTCCTTCAATATGAATAATTTTGGGGGCCGTTTCTGAAAGAAAAAAATGCAATCCAAGCACACTCCCTGATTTTGTTGGTGGTGCTGGAAATTAGAGTACAAACGCTTTATCTGCATTACAAATACAGTACAAAGTGCCGGGGTGCTTTAATCTATCTCCTAGAATATATTTCTGTTATTATTATTCATGCTTGAAGTGCTTCATCTTAATGCTCACAGTCGTTACCGTAGGCACACGCAGCAGCACCAACCCCAGCAGAGGCTTTGCTGGGGTTTGTTGTCTTTCTCCTGATGCTGTTATTACTTGGATGACATTAAAGCATAAGCAAGCCACCAGATGTGCCCACAACCTGGTAGCTCTCTTGGTGGGAGGAAATACTTGATCGGAGGAAAAGGGGGTTTCTGTGTGTGTGTGAATATTGGGATAGCGTCCTAAGTGCTGCTCGATGGTGGTACCAAAAAGCAGATTGGAAAACATTGCCTAAAATCACATGTGAGGAAGTACATAGCTGCAGGGAAAGACCTGATGGTGCTGGATTTATATTGGGGTTGGCTTGACTAATCTTCCAGCCCCTATTCTGAAGCACAGATACGCCTGCCTCCCTCTGGCTATTGAAAGCTAAAGGATGATGGATCTGAGGTTGCAGCATGAGGGGGAATTACTGGAGCTTCAGTTCTTTCCAAATGAACCATCTGCTTAGCAGCCAGGGCAAGTGTAAGGCAGGAGACTTCAGCTTTCCAAGGCTGGTGCCTCATATTTACTTCTTCCTACAGATTAAGGGAGACTTGACAGATATGGGACAGATGTATTTAAGGATGGTGAAGAATAACATCCTGGGTGCTCATTACTTGCTATAAACTCAGCACAAGGTCAGCCTGAGACCTGGTGCACCCATAGACAGAGCTGCAGGAGGAGTGACCACCCCAAACACGCTGCAGACATGGCAAAGCTAAGAGGTCCTGTACTGCAGCATCTCGGGACTGAAATGTCACCTAATGTAAAACAACGGTTTCATCCAGGTAGGTGCAACTAATGCCCTTTAGAGCAGCTACGATCTGGCCCACAGCAACCAGTTTTACTCCTTGATAGCTCAGAAAGGGCTCAGTTGTTTTCTGCATCATTTGAAAGCAGAGTGAATGGGGACTCACAGATATTCCTATCGGAACTCTGGACGCCAGTCTCTTTTATCTGATTCCCCTCTCTTCCCTTCTGTTTTTTAAGCAAAATCTCATTAATCAAGCCATTATGAGGAAGCGTTAGTGTTTTGAGTGCATTTGCTATGTATGGACAGAGTCAGCACACACATCCAGCACATGAAAATTTGATCATCCGCACTTGGGAAAGAGGTATCAAAAGGCATAATTTAATATGTTCTCATTGAAAAAATCATGAACTGCACATTCCTCCATACTGTACATTCGACAATCCTAATTACTGAGGCTATTTATTTTAGGAGGACAATTGTCACAGCCTGAAGTGTTAGAAGGAGCTGGTGCGGGGGGGGCTGGTTTGGTTTGGATGACAGTGAAGGCCATCCTCCAAGACCACCACTGAACTTCATATGGGGCCATGAAAGCGCTGTTTGTCATAATGATTTCTCTCTCAAGGTGGAGAATGATGGAATTAGGCCATTGCATTGGAAAATGCCTGGCAGAAGCAAAGCCCCTGTGATTTCTTGGCTGGTTGTGTTTGTGTGTGGTTGCTGGAACCTACAAGCTGATACAAACCTTTCTTACTTGTGGAAGGAGAAATGGAGTTGAGGTTGTTCAGATGGGTCTGCAGATGGCCATCTAGAAGCAGAATGGAAAGTGCTTGATTGGGATCACCTGCAGCAGCCTTTGCCTTCGCTGTGTGTTCTAGGGCAGATAAGAATAGAGAGATATGAAATTATTTAATCACCTGTATTTTAGGCTGAGCTGCTCCATCACAGAGATGTTGTGCGGTGGAAATTGTTTAGTCCATAAATACCTGTGAATCTCCCATCTTGCCTCTGTGTGCCTCCTTCATCATACAATACCAGACTGGTTTGTGTTGGAAGGGGCCTTAAAGCTCTTCCAGCTCCAACCCCTGCCACAGGTGGGGACACCTTCCACTAGAGCAGCTTGCTCCGAGCCCCTGTGTCCAACCTGGCCTTGAACACTGCCAGGGATGGGGCAGCCACAGCTTCTCTGGGCACCCTGTGCCAGCGCCTCAGCACCCTCATAGTGAAGAATGTGGCCCCTTTAGGCACTGGAGCTGCTCTAAGGTCTCCCCTTCAGGAGCCTTCTCTTCTCCAGGCTGACCCAGCCCAGCTCTCTCAGCCTGGCTCCAGAGCAGAGCTGCTCCAGCCCTCGCAGCATCTCCATGGCCTTCTCTGGACTCACTCCGACAGCTCCACATCCCTCTTGTGCTGCTGCCCCAGAACTGCAGGGGGGTCTCCCCAGAGAGCAGCAGAGGAGCAGGATCCCCTCCTTTGAGCTGCTGGTGATGCTGCTGGTATGCAGCCCAGGATACGTATTCATGGATGAATACACAAAGGTGGTAGCATTTTCCCATTAGAGTTTGGTGGACAATCCCCTCCTAATGGGAGGGCATGTTCGTCTGAGGGAATGTGCTGCAATGTATGCAAATATGTGCAAATGTATGCAAATTTGCAATCTACTTTTCCCCCACCTTGTTTTGCAGAGGATATTAGCAGGTATGCAAAGGTCTAAAATTATCCAATTGAGAGGAATGCTGTGTGAGTGTCAGGGGGGGCTGGTACCCCAAAGTTTGGGGTTCATTCAAACAGATGTACACTGAAATCTCTCCTTCCACCCATTCTTAATAAAGAGATTAATTGCTTGCTCCCTTCTCTGCAGGAAAACCTAACTCATAAGCACCTAACTGGGCTGGGGGCAGTGGATTAATGTGAGAACTGCTGGCCTGCTGCTGCAATAGAAGGAGTTGGCAAACCTCATGGCAGAGCTCCTTCCGCTTGCTTTTTACTCTGTGATTTGGAAATTCAGTGACAGAAGGATGGTTTTCAAGCTACCTCCTCTCTGGATTGAACACAGGCACCCAGAATTTGACATTTGGAACAAAACAATGCTTGATCCAAAGTCATACAGCAACTCTGTGATTGCACTGCGGGGGTTTTTCTTGCTCTTGTAAGAGATGCTTTTCCTCCCTGCTTGCAGCAAGCCAGAGTGTTCGGCACCCTCAGAACTAAGCAGCGGTGCATTGGATGATTCCCTCTATGAGCTGGGAGTAAGACATCTTCCTTACTTCATGTCATCATGTGGAAAAATTAAGAAGCAGCCCTCAAACCGTCCAAATACGCAGTTATCCATGAAAGGAAACACTTGTAGAGCTGGGGCTTGGGTCTGAGCTATGACAGAGCTCTGTCTAAACCTGCATCCAGATCTGGTGTTGGTGAGCCTGGGAGCACTTTGGGTTAATGGCCTTAGAATCATAGAATCGTTAGGGTTGGAAAGGACCTTCAGATCATCCAGTTCCAAGCCCCCTGCCATGAGCAAGGACACCTCACACTAAACCATCTCACCCAAGGCTCTGTCCAACCTGGCCTTGAACACCACCAGGGATGGAGCATTCACAGCTTCCTTGGGCAGCCCATTCCAGTGCCTCACCACCCTGACAGTAAAGAACTTCTTCCTTAGATCCAATCTAAGCTTCCCCTGTTTAAGTTCTAACCCGTTACCCCTTGTCCTGTCACTCCAGTCCCTAATGAAGAGTCCCTCCCCAGCATCCCTATAGGCCCCCTTCAGATACTGGAAGGCTGCTATGAGGTCTCCACGCAGCCTTCTCTTCTCCAGGCTGAACAGCCCCAACTTCCTCAGCCTGTCTTCATACAGGAGGTGCTCCAGTCCCCTGATCATCCTTGTGGCCTCCTCTGGACTTGTTCCAACAGTTCCATGTCCTTTTTATGTTGAGGACACCAAAACTGAACAATACTCCAAGTTAGGTCTCACAAGAGCAGAGTAGAGGGGATCTTGCATCTACATCATGCCTGAACAGCTATGAGAGTCTGGATCTGGGTCCAAAGATGACTGGTTCTTTGCTGTGTTTTGTGTTGGCTTAGGGAAAGCACAGGGTGATTCTTTGCCCAAACCATTCAACTCTCCACTCTTGTCTGAGCAAGAGTGGCAATCTCAGAAGCAAAGATATCCTGAAGTGTAAGTACTTTGCTCAGGCCAGAGCTATCAAAAGATCCTGAAATCTTATCACAGAATCAGAGACCTCCAGCAGGTCCATGTCCCTGTGTTGGTGCCCCAGAGCTGGGCACATTACCGCAGATACGGAGTGATGAGCCAACTAAAATCAAGGGTAGGAGAGCAGCAGTTCGAAACGGATTGGCCACATGGGGCAGAAAACCTGTGGTCCCACTCCGGAGGCAGAGAGAGCCATTTCCATAGGACCTAAACGGTGGCTCCTCTTCTCCCCCTCCTTTGCAAGAGCCCCATCTCTGTACACCCTGAAAGGGGAGAGATCCCTTGGGAAGGGCGGTCAGAGAGGTCTGAAACCATCCCATTCCCATCCCTTGCTCGTTGCCAGCGCTGGCGCTCCGGGAAGATGTGGGGAGAGGTGGCCACAGGGTGTCACTCGCACCCCGCGAGTGAACCACCCCACGGCGCATCCCGAGCTCCTCCCGGGGCAGGGGGGACATGGGGGGGTGCCTGTGCTAGATAGACCCCAGAGCAAGACAATACAAACCTTGGTGCTGCCGGTCAGGAATCGCGGCTCTTTTTCACAGCACTCCCCATAGGCAGGATGCTGCAGGAGTATCCAGCCTGTCTGTTCCTTCTCCATCCCCCGGGATATGGATTTCCATGGTCCAGTGCAGTCACCGTCAGGTGTAGAAGAGGATGCAGCTGGGAGTATAAAGAAGAGGGGAGTCAAATAAAAGGGGATTCTCTATAACCTGTAGTATTAATATTAGCCTAGGAGACAGTTTGAATGGGAGACGTTTGAATGGGCTTTGATTCCCAATGTCTTTTAATGGGAAAGGGGTTAGTATCAAATTTGTTAAGAAATATTCCTTAGACCCATGGGATTTGTCTCTTTTGGCCGAAGTTCTGGAACATTTGGTTTGAGGAACTGTTCTTATTAAGCTCTCTCCAGCAGTCTATCTGTCACAGGCACTCCCTGCATCCACAGGCACACTGTCAAGTGCCTTCAGCTTCTCCAGCTCGAAAGCCTTCACATTTGGAGTTGGCAGCTTCTGGCGTGTGAGCCAGGTGGGAAGCTGATGCAGCACGTGGCTTCTGCCCCTGCCCGCAGGGCTTGGCCAGCAGCAGGATCCCTGCCCTGCTGTGCCCGCTGTGATTTCCAAGGAGTTTTGCTTCTTGACCTAGGAAAAGGGATTAGGCAAAGAATGGATGCACTGAGCTTTCCCCTTCTCCCCGTTTTGGCTGCGTGAGTCGCATCTTGCCAGCCTCAGGCATAATCCTTCCTGCTGGGTCTGTAATTTGCCCATTTGTGTCAATTTACAGGTTAAAAAGAAGGGTCCCAGTCCTGCTGCTGCTGGATCTCCAGACAGCTTGGGTAGAGCTTTCCACCTGGGTAGTCACAGTGTTTGGGGATATGGGTAAAGGACACGCTTCCTTTCCTTCTTGGCTCGGATCATTGTAAGAGTTTGGTCTAGTTACCTCTTGTCTCCCCTTTTCTCCTGTGAGTTCTGTAAGTGTAAAGAGATGATAACTCATCTTCTTTTCATCTAGAAAGACTCAGCATGATCCACTGAAAAGGGAAAAAGAAGGAGGAGAGGACCCCCACTGCCCCACTTCTAATACATTAGCTGGCTCATCAGCAGATCTGTGCTGAATTTTCTTTCCTGGGTGTATGCAAACCTCTGTAGGGAAGAAAAGAGAGAGATGCATTTGACAAAAAGGGAGAATATCTGCTATTTAAAAGTGATAGCTGTCCAGCAAAATGCACTGATGTAATCTTTGGACTAATCTCCTCCTCGCAACCCTTCATGAGCAGCTACAAGAAACTCAGTCTGCGCAAAACACTGAGGAAATGGCACGAAGAATCCCTCTCCACACTGCCCATCCCACTGCTGTCACACTGTGATCTGTTGGCTACTTTGGCATCAATAGAATCAAGTGAAGAAAGCCAACAGATGCATATGCCTTTTGTATAAATCTGTTTTCTAACTTGTCTCCTTAAGCTCCTCTCTATAATTCGTATGCCATCGCTAGGGATAGAGGTGCGGTTTAGTTTTGCTTGCTCGAAGGGAGTACCATATACGCCTCCAGCAAAGGAGGAAGCACTGGAATACCTTAGACCTTGGGAGCAAAGGGCCCTGTCCTGGGTGATTCCCTTTGTGCCCCTTTCTGTTGCTTCTGTAGGTCCTCCTGACCCACTGGAGTGGGAGATCAGATCTGTTTAGAGCATACGGAGTCATTCCACATCACTAAGTTAGCCTGGAAATGGGAGTTGGCAGTGACTGTTATCTATTACCACTCGACAGAGGGTTGGCTGTCTGTCAGATTTGTCTGTACAGTCTCCTTGCACAGGCATGTGTGTCCCCAATGCAGAATTCACCATCCCAAATGACATCGACTGTGCCTTCTCCGCAGGAGCTGAATTAGCCCTAGAGACTCCCTCATCCGTCAAAAGCTGGAGCCAAGTCATGCTAGGAAAACAGCGGGATGAGGAAATAGTGCTTTCTGAGTCCCACTTGCTTTATGGATAGGTCAAGACCTCCAATCACCAGGGTCACCAATCCAATTAGAGAGCACACTTAACAAAACCCTGAGAATGCTTATTATCAGAAAGAGAGCTGCAATGTGCGAGATAGGAGCAGCACAACACAGCCCGGTGATGCTGACCCGGTCAAAGAACTTTTCCATGGGTATGATTTCTGTGGCTGTCCCTGCAGCTTCCCATATACGCCATATATTGGCAGTATCTCAGAGGAAACCAGTGTGTATGAGTCTAATTGTGCCCGCACTTAAAGCGGAGACGATGGAAGCTGTGGGCTGCTGCTTTGCAGTGGGATTGTGAGATTAATGGAGGGGAAGGGCACTGAAACTACACATATTCTTCTAAAACGTCTGGCTCTCTCACTTCACTGCCCTCAGATCAGCTTCAGCTCTCAGTGAAGCCGAGTTCTCCTTCGGCACAGATGTCTTTGCAGACATCCTGCTTATCTCCTCCATCCGAGGCCGAGCAACTCCAGCTTCCAGTTGGCAGAGACCATCAATCGAGAGATATCCACCGAGTCTTCCACAATAATGAAAATAATAACTCTTTTCCACTGGAGGAAGGTTGGAACCAGATGAGCATTAAGGTCCCTTCCAACCCAAAACTTTCTATGAATCTTTCAGTCATCCAGCCCATCACTGAGGCACAGTTTGCCTCGAGGAGGCCCATGATGCTCACAGCTTCCTAAGTGGGCACCTAACTTTGAAAGGCTCCATCTCCCTTGCTATTTCTAAACATGATGCTCTCCCCTGCTAAGCAAACAGCAGGAAACCAAAATGGAAACAAGGGAAAATATGACACCCTCTGCTAATAAATGCAAAGCGATGGAAAACAATTTTGCCAACTAGGCAACTCAAATTAGACTTCTCTCTCCGAGGAATATGGTCGATTTGTAGCTCTTATTACAGTGTAATGCTATTTCCCTAAAAGTTTGTGTGTGCATTTTAATGAATTCATAAAACCTGGACTGTAAAAGCCCCATGGGGGAAACCTGGCAGCTCTTTAATTCAGCATTAAAGCTCAACTGATGTCAATTGAATTGATTTCTGCGCATAGAAATTGCATTCGTTGAATGAAAACTTTAGCCCTTGCCATTCCCCCTTTTAAAGCTCACCGTAACACAATTGGCTCCTTGAGTCAGGTTCAATTACATGTTGAAAGTTTATAATCTGGTGTGCTGAACAGAGGCTGTGAAATCAAGAGAGAAAACCTAGCTAACCTGATTAAACCCTATACCACGCCATGCTGCGGCCAGTGGATCCTCGCTGAAACACAGGGGACTGGCTCCTCTCCGGGTATGCAATGTGCACCGATTGCAGCCAAAGACTTCATCCTGGTAACAGCCCCAGTGACCTCAGTGTCTCCAATGGGAGTTCAGAGCTCTGACCCAATTTCCAATTTTGCCTCTTTTAGCCTAGGGAGAGCTTGGAATCCAAACAGGGATTGTAAAGGGAAAGGAAAGACTCGGTGGCTGTGCCGGGCTTGGATTCTCTTCCATGTTATAGGCACATCCGTGTTAGGGTATGGCCCTGTGAATGGGAAGTTTCCAGTTGTGTTTCATGCGGGTTTACACATCCCTTGGCTTTTTGCTCTTAGCCTGGGGAAACTGCCGTAATCCCCTAAATTTTGACCCAAACGGAGCCAAAGCCAGGAAAGTTTTACTTGATGGAAAGCTGTACTTGTTTCCACAGGCCCCTCCTTGGTGCACAGGACGAGTTGCTCACTTCTGCAGGTATTTCAGCAGAGCAACCCACATTAGATGTTATTTCCAGAATTGTTCCCAGTCCTCCTATGAACATGGTGGAAACCTGATGAAAACGGCCTTGTTCTGTCGAGGGTCAGGTTAATGGTAGATGTTCACTTTGCTTTTCTAGTGTTTTGATGCTCTTTCACTGCTCCCAGACCCCAAAGCATATGAACAAAAGAATTGTGCGATCTTCCCACCATTAAAAACCAATCAAATGGGCTTTTTCTGTATTTCAATCTTCAGGAGAGAGTTGACTTTTTCAAACCCTTTGCTTATCCTGAGCCAACACCACCATAGCTTACACAGCACGGAGCTACCCTCCACAACCTCATTCAGTTTGTGGTCATACATAAAGCATTATTCCCTAGTAACAGCGAAGGGGTAACAGCTGCGGGGTTTATTACAGCCACAGATCCTCACACACCCATCTGAGACAAGTGTTAAAATCCCTTTTTATAGATGGAGACACTGAGCAATAGGGATGCTCAGCGATTTGGGAGGGGTTGGCTGGGTTTTGACTGCCAGCCCTGTGCTGTGGCCTCCCCCTCCTCATATGGGACATGCCTGAGCCCCAGAGCCTGAGGTTTTGGGTAGAACAGCTTAATTTAGTGTCCCAACCTGCAGTTTAAAACAGTGTCCCTACTGGCAGCCCCTTGGCCAGTCTGGGGCTGCCTGTAGTCACTGTATTGATGTCAACCCAGAGGAACTTTAGTCTTTAGTGAATGATAACTGCAGGTCTCTGCTTTTATTTGGGCTGCTGGTCTAAGGGAAAAACCTCATCCCCTTCACAGCTGTTGAAGGTGGGTCAAGGACAAGATGCTGCAGCTGGGTTAAAAAGAGCTTGTTGAGCAGTGTTTGCTCTCTGTGGTGCACATTGAAAGCCCTGAGTGTGCTGGGCTACCAGGTAGTCACAAGGCAGGCTCAAGACACCCAGCACATTGGTAGTCTCCATTGGTACTGGGCATGGATGGGATCTTTGTCCATCATCCACAAGCAAATTTCCCAGTCACAGCCCAAGAAATCTTTCCCAATCCTTGGAAAACATGCCCCACACTTGCCTTCTTTAGCAGTGCTGTAAGAACTGAGCTAATTGCAGAGGTACACATGCTTTCATTTGAGCATTTCAGTATATACACTATGTCTTTCACAGTGGTCCCAAATGACTGCCAAACACATGGAAGGTCTTTAAGGAACGGTCACGGATGATCATTAGCATCAATGATACAGAAGCAAACACAGACCCCAGGGGCTTTGAAAAGCAACCAACAATTTTGGGCACAGCACCACGGAAAGACCTAATACCCCAAAGCCCTGAGCAACCTCTCTGGAATCACAGCAGACTAATACAGCAGGAAACATTCCTTGAAGTTCCATTTCTGTTCCCTTTGCTAATGTTTAGCATCCTCAGTCTAATGCCATGTCCCACAGACTCACCAAACAACCAAATAGCAGGGCTGCCTTTCCCCATTATTGGGCTTTTCATGCATGCTTTCTTAGACCATGAACTATAGAGCCTCATAGGCTGCTGTAGGACTAAGTAAGTAAGGGGGGTATAGGGGATAATGGCTATCAAGAATGCAGAAAGCCAATTGCTCTGTTGCCACATGCCTGAGTGGGAAGACACAGTGATAATCAGTGTCCTTGATTTCTTCTGACCTTCTTGTCCCAAAAGAAATAGCTGCCCTAGCAAGCTTTAGGGCAGAGAGGAGCATCAAAGCTAAAAATGAAGATAATGTTCCACTTCATACCGAATCCCTGTGTTCCTAACTAAATGCCAGGGGGAAAACATCCTTGGTGTAGCCCATGTGCTTATCATTTTACAGCCACAACATACTTGGCTTTGCCAAGCAACATGGCTGAAATGCAAATTGTTTGAAAGAAAGGAATAGCAGAAGGACATTTTCCTTCCCTTTTTTCCCTTCAAATCTTTTTTTTTGCTGTATCAACAACTTTTGGCATTCGGCAAAAATAGCCGTGAAATATGGAAATGCCTTGTTCATAGCACAGTGATTTTTAAAGGCTTCTGCTGTGCAAATGCAGCTGAGATAGGCTTCTATAGTCTCTTGTCATCTCCCACTGTAACAGCGCTTCCTCGCTATTTCACTGAATAAGCAGATACAACAGCAAACTATTCACCAAACTCCAACAACATCAAAAGCCCATTAAAGTTCTGATTTAAACTCTCCAAAAAGCATGGAAACTCACAGCAAAATAACAGGCACCCAAGATTTGTTTGCAGCTAGCCATCACCCTTAACATTATCCAACTGTGCTTGCATATTGGATGGATGGCACTTGCCTGCCAGTCTCTTAGATGAAGTTTTAAACCAAACTCTTAATAGCCTTCTCAGTGCTGCGCCTTCTTAAACACCCTGAGGCTTTCCCCTATTCTCCCTTTATTTTCATGTCTGTTTAGCAGGACATGGGCAGAAAAGGAGGCTAAAACAATCCCCTTGCAAGAGCAAAAATACCTTGTTCGCAGTATCAGAAAGGCCTCTGTACAGACAGCACCAGTTACCTTCTTTGTAGTGCCATGTAGTCATCCAACATATCTTCTCCCCCTTCAAACTGAGGAAGAGACTAAAGACAATACAGGCATTGCAGGCAGATTAATACTGAGGAAGTAAGGTGTGGCTATCAATTAATTAAATCTCATTAAGCTCAAGTAGATGTGGCCATTCACAGTTCCAGTGGCAGTGTCATGTGATGCTTAGCATCACCAGCTGAAGCCCTTTTAATGTTTAATGAGGAAATCCCAATAAATGGGTTAGTGCAGTTTCCTCAACCCACTTTGCATTTGCATTGTAATTATCCTGGAGGAACATTGCTGGAGCAATCCTGTGGCTGTTTCTCTAAATCCACCTGGCTTTGCTGCTGCTCTGCCCCTGGAACCAGCACATCTGATGCTCTGAGCCAGTTTGAAGGAAAATAGGACAAAAGCATTTCTTTCTCTTATTTCCTTCTCTGGTGGCTTGCTTCCCTTAACCAGCTCACTGGGTGTCTGCACAAGGGTAAATAGGGCAACACTCTTGAAGGTGGCAGGGTCTGCTGCCATCAAGCATCACCCTGTTGTACCCAGGGCACTCAGTCAGGCAGGGAGCAGGACAGAGTCTTAGGTCAGCCCTTTCTTGAAGGGCTGCTCCTATGGTCCTAACTGAGCCGGAGGGGCCTCTGGGTGCTTTACAGATTCTACCCATGCACTTAACCAGCTCAAACTGAAAATCAAGGAGTTGTATTACCAAAGTGAATCTGTTATTGATCGTTGTAGACCAAATGCAACTGTCAAATCAAAGTCAAATCAGTGAGCGAATCTCAGTATGAGACTGGAGCTATATTAGGCAAATCATCAGCTAGGCAGCAGAAATAACCTCTCCTTATAAAGCCCTGAAAGAATCTGAGAAACTAATTCTATGTGTAGTTTGGAAATGGGAAAGTCAACTTTATGCCTGGCAAATACCACTGCTATTCCCCTGCCCTTTGCTGCAACTGGAAATAATGCAGGCTTTGAATCGGAGGTGAGGGCAAAAGATGGAGACCAAACAAGCTTTATTTCCGTCTGCTACCCCTAAGCAGAAAGAAGTTATATTCTGTTATTCCAACAGGAACACAAGGAAGACTTACATTATTTCAGTGTCTCCTGCTTGGAACAAGAAATCAGAAGTCTGGGAGGCAGTTAGCTGGGTCTCTATTCCCCTTGTGCATCCTCTGTACCGCAGTTTGATGTCTCCCAATACCCTTGCTGTCTGCAGAGACAGGAGGCTATCTTGTGCTTCATTCACTGTATGTAGGCTGTCATAAAGGAGAAATGCCTGCCCTATGGTCTCTGTCCCAGAGGATTTTATTTTGCAGCTCAGTCTATAGCAGAGCCAGCATCTATCTCCTCTCTGCACATCCCCTGCAGGGTTCAGCACCTTTCTCCTCTTCTTTTGCCTATTGCTGCCTATCGCCAAGGTCTTTCTTGCTGCCTCTCTTCCCATCCCTCTGGATGCAGCCATAAGAGCCTCATGCACTCTGCTTTTGGAAGAAACCCTACATCCATCATCACCTATCCCAGCAGAAAATGCTTGGAAAGGGCATTAGTGTTATCACAACCTTTGTGATTCTGTAAGGCATAGGAAAGGTGGGATGAGAAAGAGAAGGGAAAACTCCTCTGAGGACACCTCGTCCTTTTGCCAGCCCTTTTTCTGTGTGAAATCCTGTACTGCATGTGGAGTGCATTAGTATTGTAAATCCTTATAAATGTCTGATAAAAGAATCAACCTGTCAAATAAATGAAAGTCTCCATATGCCAGATACAGAAATGCAATCTGAAATCCTTTTAAAGAGAAGCTGATAAATAGTGGGAATCCAGAGTGTCAGCAGAGATAGAGCTCAGATCCCTCTGCTGCCTTTAATCTGATCTCCAGGAGAACTGTAGTAAGAAAGGTCACAGGGCCCGCAGGCCATTGAGATGTCATAGAATCATCAATGGTTTGGGTTGGAAGGGACCTTAAAGCTCATCCAGTTCCAACCCCCTGCCACTGGCAGGGACACCTTCCACTAGAGCAGCCCTATCCAACCTGCCCTTGAACGCTGCCAGGGATGGAGCAGCACTGCTTAATGTCCTCTGAGATGGGAGGGCTGTGGCAATGCAGGAGGGTGCTGACAGCAGTGCAGGCTCCACATTGGCATTAGAAACCTCCACTGTGCAACCCCAAGGTACATTTCACCCAGCTCAGATCAGTTTGCAAGTGTCCACTGACCTTCACACCGCAGGGAGACCCTTGTCGCACATCCCTGGCTGCCCCACTGGTGCACAGTGTTTGCTATGGCCTTACCAAGGTGTAGGAACAAATACAGAGAGACTGGGATAGGAGGGCTGAAGCTGCCCCTTTCCCACCTCATGCCACGTCTCTCAGGCAGTGTTTTGTATCCCCTGCAGTCAAGGATAAAGTGGGCTGCTGGCTATTAAGACATTTGGCAGCTGGCATCACAAAGGATTTGCAGCTTGGTCTTTGTCCAACTTCCCTGAACTCTGCTGGATCAGCCGCTCGCTGTGCTGAACATCCCTGTGTTCTGCCTGGGAGCTCTCTCATCTCAGGGATGCAGGTTTGATCCTGCCTGGTCAATGGCTGGGGTAGTTGTGCTGCTGGAACAAGGGAAAAACAAACACACACAGAAGGGGAGCCCAAATTAAAGCTGCTCTTGGGATGTGAGTGAGGAAGGGCTGGGATGTTGTGGCTCGTGTGGAAAGGACAGGACATGAGAAGAAACTTTCATGATAAGAAGCATAACTTTCAGTAACTCATTTCTTGTCCAAATTGTTGTAGATCCAATGCACAACTGTCATTAAAGACCATGTTTCAGCTGAGTTTAGTTTTGCTTTTAGTGTTTGTTGTGTTTGGACCCCTCTGGCGTTACCTCCTGCTTCCTCCCTTGGCTAATGTGCCTTGTGAGTCCAGCCAGCTCCCCTTCTGCTTCTCTTTCATTCTCTTTTGCTTCTATGTGCCTTTTCAAAACTCAGTTTCCCCCTTTTTTTCCCCTGCCTTTCTCCTTGCTGTGGTCCCTCTGCCTTGCCAGGGCACCTCCTGGTATCAGCACCATGCTGCCCAAGCAAACAACGGCATCAGCCTGCAGGGCTGAAAGGGACCGCAGGTATTCATCTGTTCCTCATCCTGCTTCATAGAGGGTCAGCTTCATTTCTGCCTTTCCTACAAGTGTCTAGGATCATTTTGAAGTTTCCCATGACAGAGACTCTGCAGCCATTGAAGGCAGCCTCCTCCAGAGCTCAAATACTGGGTTTCTGTAAATCAGTGTCCAGTCGCAGGACTGCATATAACTGGACATCTTTAGATGATGCCTTTCACCTTCCTCCCCAGCTCTTGTGTCTCTATGATATATTATCACTCTAGCAGAATAGCTCTTCAGGACTCAGCCCCACTGACATTTGGGGCAGCATCACAGAGCCTTGATGCCCTCACAGGTTCTGAGGAGGCTCAAAATCCCGTTTCCCAGTGGCTTTTGAAAGCAGGCCAGATGCTCAGCCAGAGAAATCCAGGAGGTGTCAGAGTTCTCTGCAGAGGGAATTAAGGCAGGGGGGAAAAAGGAAGGTAATGTCCTTTCAGGTAATTCAAGGCAGTTCACTTTAACAAACAGAGATGCGATGCCTCAATTTGCTTTGATTTTGTGTCATATTTATAGAACAGAATATAATGAAAAAAAATAAATGGAAAGTAATTTCCAAATGAAAACCCAAAATGTTTCACTTGTGAAATGTTGAAAAAGGGCATCTCAACCATTTCACAATGATGCTTTCAATCTCTTTCTTTTTTTTTTCCAAGGCAAGAAATGCATTGAAAACAATCCTCATCTGCAGAACTTTTCCCCAAATTGACTTTATTTTCAGTGAAATTCGCATATCTGTAAAGGGTTTTTGTTAAAAATATATATCCAAGGATCTTGAACATTAATTTGTTGTTCGGCCTCAGAGCACTTCCGAGAGGTAGTTAAGCGTTATGATCCTCATTTTGCAGAAAGGGAATCTGACTCATAAAGAAACATAAAATGCAATTGAGTTCCCACTTACTTCAGTGGAAGAATTGACGTACCCAAGGTCAGAGAGAAAGTCAATAGCAGAGTTGAGGGGGGAAAACAGGAGTATGGAAACCAGTGGCTGTTCTACAACCATCAGGCACCCCATCATGCAGAGGGAGCAAAGTCCAGAGTCAGCAGTGTCCACTCCATTAACCCTTTCCTCAAGCTGGAAGGCAGAATGAAACCAGCCCCAAAATCAGAAAGGGACTGAGATTTTTCCTTCTCAAAGACGTACGGAGCCATGATTCAGCTGCTGTGTGTTGGATCCCATTGGTTTCTGAGCAGTAGACTATGCCTATTAACTTCCACAGGAGGTGGACCAAGCCCTCTGAACTCTTGTGGTTTAACCTGTAGTTATAGGTTTCTGCACCAGACCAGCTCCTCTGCTCATGCCTCAGGAAGAAAGAAGAGAACAAAGCTGTCAAAAGGCAGTCATGTTTTATTGCACTGCTGAATAACTTATTTCTGTATTAACTTTGAAATCTGTAGAGTTAAAGGTAGAATGTACCTGGCATTGAAAACAATGTATTAATGTAGAAAACACCAGGTTTTAAGATATCATCTTCTCAGTCCCTACAAGCTACTGTGCCTTACAGGCATGGCTGTTAAATCCCTTGTGACCCTGGACTGATGCATTGTGTGTGGTGACACAAATCACAGGATCATAGAATGGTTTGGGGTGGACCTTAAAGCTCATCCACTTCCAACCACCTGCCACGGGCAGGGACACCTTCCACTAGAGCAGCTTGCTCCAAGCCCCATCCGATGTGGCCCTAGTGTAAATATCCCAGCCTCCCTGTGCCTCATGCTGGCAGCCATCCCACAAACCACCTAATGCTTGTTTCTCTGCCACCCAGTGATTGTGCTGGCTGCTTTCCCCATCCAAAGGAGGGCCATGGGTTTGCAGACACCAATGTGATGTCCTGCAGTGGTAGGGCAGGGAAGTGGGCTTCAATAGAGAGCGAAAAAGAGCTTTTCCCCCTCCGC